TTTCCTGCCTAGTGCAGGGGGACTGGACCTGATGATCTATAAGGTCCCTTCCAGTCCCTCACAGTCTATGAAAGCAAGCCACCACACTGAGAACATCTTCCAGGCGATAGCTGCCCAGCTAGCCAGGCGGTGGCACACATGGCAATTGTGCCACACAAAGGCCAACTGTGCAGCCATACCCCACTGGCAGCTGGCCCAAAGGTGCAGATGCCTCTAATGGCCATGCAGTCCTCATCCAGGTCTGGCAGGTGCACAGCCTTGCTGTTGCAGGTGGCAGCAGGTCACAGCCAGGCAGCAGCCCCCACTGCCAGACTGCTGCAGTGGGTAGAGGGTGCAGGGAACTCTCAGGGCTGCTTCAGCAGTCCAGCTGGCACAAGGGGTAATGTCCCCAGGTACCAGTTAGCTGGACCCCAGAAGCTCCTATTTGTTCATCCGATTACCATGGGCAAGGCCCACCTGGCTAACTAGTAGCCCAATTTTATGGGGGCTAACGGACAAATGGAACAACTAAATTCTTGGCACAGCTAATGAAAAAAAACAGGATAGGAGTGTCATGTGGGTTAAAGGGCCAAAACGTGAAAATAAATGTGCCTGAGGGGGACGCTGAGCAGAGCCCCCCAGGCCACACTCACTGATCCTCAAAGACATCCAAGAAGCCAGTGGATGCCGCCCAGTGGTGCTCTGCCCAGAAATGTGCATGGACAAATGAGAGGAAAGTGGCCCTGCAGTCTCTGGGCACCTTCCCAGCCACAGCCTCCTTCCTGATCATGTACTGGGCCCATTTGGCCAGGGCTAGGAGGAGGTTGACCAGGAGGTCCTGGGACTGCAGATGGGGTGTCCAAAAATAAAAAGGTTGGTGGTGAAGTTCAACCAGAACATCAGGAGGAGGTTCTGGAAGTGGAGGAGCTGCAGCCTGGCACACTCAAGTTCCCACAAACTCCTGAGAGTGAGTAGCTCTGAGCCCTAGCTCCCCCTGGCTGCAGATCTGGGAGGAACCAGGCAGGGTTATTTTGCCTCAAATGACAAATTTGCCCCACACCAAAGTGCATGTCTGGGCATGTTCACTGAGGCAAAAAGCCCCAGCTCAAATTTGTGTCACTTCTGTTTGAGCTCCTTCAAGCACGTGTGCCTGCCTGTGTGGACATGCCCTTAAAAGCCATGCCCATCAGAGGTTTTGGTATGGCACTGGTGTTTGGGGCCCTGATGCAGGAAGATGGGTTGAACAAAACAACACGCTCTAGATGGGTACTGTTTAAGAAATAGGAGCAACAGAAGATCTCTGTGAAATTAGATCAGAGATGTCCAAACTCTGTTTTGAGACTCAAGGGCAGCCCATGGAATTCTACCATGCAGCCCATGACCACTCTGCTCTGAAATGGAGGGGGTACAGCACGCTAGAGAAAAACAGATCCCAGAATTCAATGTTTCATAACTGAGAAAAACACCCACTGTATTAAAAAGGAGAACACTTCCAGTCTGCTTTGCTTAATGCAACTTAAAAAAGCCCTGGAGTTCTTGGTATGTTGCCAAAGTAATGGACAAATTGGGCAAATTTCATTGCTCCAGGTTTGACTGGCTGTGAAATAATTCAATAACCCTACAATTCAGACCCACAATAAAACAGCAAAACCTTATTTATTTAACCAGGACAAGGGACACTATATTTTTATGGAGAAATGAACTTTTTTGAGTAGGCAGAGGACTTTAATGCAGATTGGTTAACGTTACACATTTAAAGGCAATGAGGGGTTTCAGATAAGGTGGGTTTGGACAAACAAAGTATCCCTATATTTAAAAAAAATCCTGGAATGTCCTTCAACTCTTTAGAAAAAGTAATGTACAGATAATGTCCTTTAAAGACTCCCTCACACATCTCACTACAGAACCTTCAGATTGTATCATAAGCATTGATCATGCCTTTGATTAGTTAAAAAATAGTGAGTCTAGAACCAAAAGAGAATCTTAACTTTATCTGAACTTTGATGCCTGAGTTGCCTGGTTCACACAAGAGCTTGTTTAAGTTTGGGATACATTGTGTCCCAGCATCTGGGAGAGGATAGATTTTACTCTTGTTGGCCAAAGTCTCCTTTGCAAGGACACTTACATTAGCACAGGTTGAGACAGATTGAAATTTTTTCTGGCAGCCCTTTATTGTATTTTAAAAACACCATAAAAAGATGTTCCAAGCTAGTGTGTGACTATCTTTGGGGTTCAGTCTTGCTAACTTTTTCACAGTATACAAAATTAAATGTGTTTTCTAGGTACAGAACACAACTGAATCAAGCAATTGATTAGAATATGTACAAAAGCTTACACATTCTGTCTTTTTAAAAAAAATATAAATATCAATAATGTTCAGGAGTATGGGTGGGTATTTTTATTTTTTAAGGCTTCCTACTTTCAGATCCTTCCTTATTTAATGATGGTGCCTCACTCTAACTGTGGGGTGGTTGCAGCAGAGAGGACCATGCCATGTTATGGAAGACAGTGTGTTGGTTCATGATGAGCTAGCCCACTTAAAAACAAATGTCTCTTCCTTATACCTTGAAGTAAGAGGAATTGTTCTTTTCCTTCTATTGTGAGCCAGGCTGATTTAAATGTTCAAACTGGTCTTTGAGGGTGGTAGCAGAAGAAGAAAAATGAAAAAAAAAATCCTTCCTTAAATTCTTTTAAACCTATAGCCATTTGTTTTAATTATTGAGAGCCATCTGTAAAGTAGACTGATTAAATAAACTCAAGTAGAAGGGGTTTACCCCAGGCTTGCCTGGGAAAGGTTAAAGTGAAGAAGTTGATGGTAGAGGTATACTATAGATGACCCCTGTGGGTATACCCTGTGGGTATAGTGACTGCTGAAGCTAGGACTGCTGCTGCTCTTGTGTCCTTGGGGATAAAGTTTGTAGGAAGGCTTTCCATCAGGCACCTGAGCTGCTCCTGACCCAGTTTGATTTTGTCATCCAGCTCCCGTTGCTTTATGAGAAGCGCAGACTTCATCTTCACAAAGTGTTGATAGTCCTCAAGCTGCTCCTCGGAGAGGTAATTGCCCAGGATTTCCAAGACCACACGTTCTCGCCGGTCTAGGTTTTCCTTCAGCTCTCGGGCGTCCTCACGCTGGCCAGCCAGCAGCTTCTTCTTTTCATTCAGAGAGCTCTGTTACATCAGAAACAGCAGGTTAGTCTCATGGCACTAAGCCCCTCTCCCCACAGATATCCCTTCCCTCCTCTGGCTGCAACTATGCTTTCTGCAATGCAAGGTCACACAGACTGAGGAGGAAAATAACACTTCAGTAGGCACATCTACTCATGCTATTAATGTGCTGAAAGCTTTCTGCACAGTAAAATACTGCACAGTCAGCTTTCCTTAAAAGTGCATCTACATGTGCTCCTGTCAGGAGCAAATCTCCTCCCAGTGAGAGCAACTCAGTGCACGGATACTCCTGCCCTGCCCTGCTCTGCCCCCTTACAGCAGCCAGGGGGATCTCCAGACGGATTGGAGCGGGGGCTGGGAAGCAGGCAGATGCCCAGGGGAGGGGACATTTCTCCTGGCCCCTGTTGCCTGGGCTGACTGGGAGCAATTTGCAAATTTACAGGTAGTAGAAAATTTCACATTAGCCTATTTTACTGCACAGTAGCTGCTGTGCATAGTTACACAGTGACACTTTACTGCGCAGTAGGTCAAACCAGGCCAGGCCTGTTACCATTATGACAACAGACAGTACTACCTGCAGCTGTCAACACTGAGAGCTGGGCAGTGGGAAATAGCTTAACAACCTCTATGGTGCCAACAGCTTTGGGTGGAGGAGCAACCTAGAGGGGGATACTAGTCCTTACCCCGGGTGGAGGAAATGCCACCAAAAGCAGGATGCCATGACAGGGTGGACCGGGCTCTCCAGCCTTGTTTGGAAACCAGTTTAGGAGTGGAGCCTCGAAAGGCGGACAGATTGAATATCTTCTTCGTACTGGGAGCTCCTGCAGCTAAGCTCACTCCAAATGTACTGACTTCTGCCTTTCCTTTGAGATCAACTAGGTAGGCCAGAGGGGGAGCATTAATATATGTACAACTCAAGTGTCTCCATATCAATTGTCCAGGCCATTTCAGGCAAAACTGAATGAAGAGGATACTCCATCTTTGCTACTTGCATGGCACAACACAGAAGGGGGCAGTCACAGGTTATAAGATCAACTCAATTGGTATAGAGTGCCATGGGTCACCTTCGTTGATGGGAGGAACCAATTGTATTTGATTGGTCAGCTACTGCCTGCCTTAAACTGGGTAGCCCCCAGCCAGTAAAGTGCTGACCCGCCATAGTCTGCCTGCCTCATTTGGTGTGTGGGGCAAGACCAAAAGTCAAAAGACAGATAAGACTATGTGGATCTAGACCAAAAGTCGAAAGACAGATGAAAGATCATGTGGGTCTACACGTGACTGCAAGCTACTTTGCCATAGCAGCAGGCTCCACCGCTTTAGCGTGCTGCTGTGAAAAAGTAATAGCTAAAACACATCATGCGCCATGTACACGGCATAGTACGGACAGTTACTGAAGGAAGTACTAAAGCACAGTTTAGTAACAACATCACCATAGGGCGATGTGTAGATGTGCCCACCTACACTTATCACAGTGCCAACTGTGACACAGACCACTCTCTATGAAGTGAAAGCGATACCAAAGAAGTTGCACAGAGCCAAGAGTAAGGGTCAGCCAACAATTAACATACACTGCACAAAAGTTCAAAGCAAGTGCCTTGACTTTCAAAGGACCTATGTCTACGAAACCAACAACTGCAAATGCTCAAGGAACTTGGAATGGACTAAGCGCAGTCATCCAGGACACAGTGACAGAAGTTTTTTGAGAAAAAGAAATTGTTCAAAAGAAGTGTTCCTGCTCTCAGGCACACTTGGAATAGATGCTACCACTTGGTGAAGCCAAGAACACAGCCTACCTGAAACACAACCAGAATCCAACAGAAAGGTCCAAGGCTAAGCTGAAGCATGCCAGGGCAATGGTACAGAAAACAGCCAGATGCTACACAAACCAGTACTGGATTGACTTATGTCAAGAGAACAATTTGCCTCAGACACAGGAAACCTGTGATTTATGTATGATGGCCTGAAGAAAGCTCTTGGCCCAAATGTCACTAAAGTCTTGAGATGACAAAGTAAAAATCACTGACAAGAGCAAGCAGATGTCACACTGTTGAACATTACTTAGAGCTTTACTCCTATGAAACAGACATTTAAGAAGAGGCAGTGGATTAACTTCCAACTCTAAGTGTACTGGCACAGCTAAACAAAGAACCTACAGCCAAAGAACCTAGCAAGGCCATAGACTCTCTAGCAAGTGGAAAAACACCAGGGGAGGATGGCATCCCAGCTGAGGTTCTTCAGTATAGGAAGGCTAGCCTGCTACCACATTTTCATCAACTCCTAGTGCGCTCCTGGAAGGAAGATCAAATACTCAGGACATGCATGATGCATCATCACTCTCTACAAGAACAAGGGAGACAAGGGTGACTGCAACAACTATATGTGTATCTTTCTCCTCAGCGTTACAGGCAAGGCTTTTGCTAGTGTCATCTTGAAACGCTTGCAGCAACTTGACGACTGTGTCTACCTGGAATCACTGTGTAGATTTAGAGCAGGGGGATCAACAGTGGACATGATATTTTCCTTATGCCAACTGCAAGAAAAATGCAGAGAACTAAATAAGCAACTGTGAGCACGTCTACGTGTGTTACTAAGGTGCCCTTGTTACTGCATTGTCATAAAAGATAGCACAGTAACAGCCCATACTGCACTGTGAATGAGGGAGTGCGTTGCTACAGCAACATAGCTGTGGCATCATGGTTTTTGCCCATGGACACCACATTACCATAGTGCAATGCTATGGTAAAGTAGTGTCACATGTAGATGTGCCCTGTATGTAGCATTTGTTGACCTGACGAAAGCCTTTGACAATGTCAGCAGAGCAGGTTTGTTTAAGGTCTTGGTAGAACTGAATGACAGCAACATTACTCAGCAGGATAGACTCCTTTCATGAAAACATGTAGGCCACAGTTCAGTTTGATGGACCAACCTCTGACAGGTTTGAGATAAAGAGTGGAGTGAAGTAGGGCTGTGTTCTGGCACCCACACTTTTCAGGATCTTTTCTATGTTGCTGCACTATGCCTTTGATGGCTTGAAGGAAGACATATACCTTCACACAAGATCAGATGGCAAACTCTATAATCTATCATGTCTGAAGGCCAAGACAAAAGTGAGGCACATACTTATGACGGAACTCCTTTTTGCTGATGATGCTGCACTCACTGCCCGTGAAGAAGGCCAACTACAAATACTCATGAATCACTTCTCTCGTGCTTGCAGGATGTTTGCCCCAACGATTAGCATCAAGAAGACTGTGGTCCTAAGACAGGGTGTTCACCAGTCACTATCTATCAGCCTTGACAACACACCTTGTGAAGTATTGAAGTTCTGCTACCTTGGATCCATAGTGAGAGACAACCTATCACTGGATTAAGAGCTAAATGTGTGCATTGGAAAGGCAGCTGCCACTTTCAGTAAGCTCTCCAAATGAGTCTTAAACAATACAAAATTCACAATGAAAACTACGCTGCTTGTGTACAAAGCCTGTGTCCTCAATGTCCTTATGTACAGCAGTGAGAAATGGTCAATACATGCATATCAAGAAAAGAAGCTGAACAATTTCCACCTACACTATTTATGGTGCATCCTTGACATCCAGTGGCAAAGTACAGTCACCAGCACAGAGGTCATCACCAAATTGAACCTGCTAACCTTTACTGAACTACTCAAACAGCAGTACCTACTCTGGCTTGGGTATCTTTGCAGGATGGAAAGTGGGTGCATCCTGAAGGATATCCTGTATGGGCAAATTGCAGGTGGGGAGAAAAGAGTAGGACACCCAAAACTGCACTTCAAAGACATCTGCAAACAGGATATGAAGGCTTTTAGAATTGACCCAAACCTTTGGGATGCCTTAGAAGGAGACAGGACAAAGTGGTGCTCCCTTCTCAATCATGGAGTCCAACACCTCAATGAAAAATGGTCACTCAAATTACAACAGAAACATAACCAAAGGGAACAGCCTGCCAGTACAGTAGCCCCTAAGGCTGTGCACACCTGTGACCACTGTGGCAGGACCTGCAAGTCTAAAATTGGTCTTTACAGCCACAACAGAAAATGCACCAGTCAACAGAATAGCTGCAATATCCACCATTGCTTGCTGATGAATGGATGCCATAGATTAGTCTACTGAACAGTAAAGCATCTTGTGTAGACATTCCCAGTAAGGCTCAAACTCCACTGAACTGAACTCCCGAACTATTTGGTCAATAGGTTGCCATTGGTGCTAGAAATTCAGAAAATCACAGAAAATAGGGATGGAAGGACCCTCAGGAGGTCACCTAGTCCGATCTCCTGCTCAAGGAAGGAATAGCCCTGTCTAAATCATCTCAGACAACAGTGTCTATACTGCAGCTAAAAACTAATTGGAAATAAAACTAGTGCAAACCCTGATTTTGCATGAGTTGGCTTCATCAACTTCAGCTGGCCAAAGAGTCTTAAAACTTGGTTAAGATGGACCTAGGAGATCACAGTTTGTCCCACGATGTATCACCTGGCCTTTATTTCTATTTGTGCAGCTAACAATAAGATGTGTCCAGTCAAAAACAAAGCTATGTTTTTAAGTAGCTAAGAAACCTGGGATTTGATTTATTTGTACAAAACAGCAGCCAAGAATAATGTTGGTCAGACCTATGTTTACAAATATGTATGTAAAGTGAATAGGCAACCTATTACTGCTTTCACTCTAGAGACTGCAGTCATTTATATAAGGACTTTCAAAGTAGCTTAAGAGAATTGGACACCCAGGATACATCCAGACGTGCATGGATGTTTGGTTCCCCAGGGACAAGTAGCAGTGGTGCACCTTGCACCACAGCTGTTTGTCCTTGGGGAATGCCCGGGCCATGTGTGCTTTGGCACATAGCAAGTTTTCCTGAATGGGGCAGGGAAGGCCGGGGCCAGCACTGTGCTGGCTCCAGCAGCCTTACCTGGGGTCCTGGGCACCTTCCAGGGCCGCAGCCACGGTGATTCTACTGTGCAGAGCCTGGTCAGCAGCCATAGCACAGTTCTGGGTGGCCCAGCTTTGCTTTTTAACAGTGCGCACTGCCCGAGTGTGTGCTGTGCTGGTTTTTTTTCCCCTGCATTTTTTTTTTTATCCCCCCACCCCCCAGCCTGTTTCTCACCCACTGGCTCCTCAATTTACATCTTCACAGACTGCCTGTCTTGCATGTGCACCAGCTCAGCCTCTGGTTTCTTTACTATTCATTCCATGCAGGAAGAGCACACACAAACTACAGATGCTTCCTCAGCCTGACGAAGGGTTTTTAAACCCAAAAGCTTGCTAAGAAGAATTTTTTCAGCTAATTGAGTTGGTCTAATAAAAGATATCACATCTACCCAAAGAACCTAGCCTGCCTATGTCCTTAGCCAACACGGCTACAACCTACATCCCTGCAAGATATTGGGAAGCCTTTGAAAAATCCCAGTTTACCCAGGCACGTTTTTCTGATCACACCATTGTCCAGTCCTCAAAAAAAAACAATGTTCTCCAGGTTACAAAAGATACATACCCATTCCTCAGTATTGCCATCTTCATCTAGGCTGCTCAGGATGTTCTCTACACGAGCCAGCCTTCCCGAGAGGGAAAGCAGTAGGTTCACCACCTTATCCAGGTCTCCTATGAACATCTTGTATTTGTCAAACTCATTGGGCTTGCATAGGTTGCTGATCAACAGCTCCACTTCCTCTCCCAGCATATTATTCATCTTAGTGTCTGCTAGCAGGCTCTCCTTAGCATTCTTCAAGATCTCCAGCTTGTGGGACAAGCTCCCAATGAGCTCAGCCTAGCAGGAAAGAATCACAGTTGGTTACCATCTATGCTGTGCAGTTCTGACAATGGGAAAACATGGTCTCCTGTACTGAGGAGCTGTTAGAAAATTCATTGTATGCAGACAGTGACCACAATGAGGTGAGACAGAGAACAAAATAGAGTGCAGGAGACACTCAAGGTGAGATTGTTGAAGCTGTAGGCTAAAAAATTCACGATTCAGTTCCCCTTGCACAGAGACCCAAATCTTAATTTGATCGTGTCATCATTGGACAATATTTTCCAAACTGCCGTAGAACTTTGGGTGCCACATTTTAAAATATCCAACTAGGTTCATCTTGAAGGGGATAATGATAGATATTAAACTTACTTTTGCAGAGTACATTGGTATTGCTGGATGAAGAGTGTCATAGCAGAGTTACATGTCCTGTTCCTCACATTTCCTCCTACTATCACCTCCAGGATTCTTGTGTGTACATTATATTTTGTATTGCCCTTTGCTCAGAGTAACTTTACTAAAAACTGACCAATATAAAGGGACTAATACCGATTAACTAACCATAAATCTGGCCTATGTTGTTATGGGGAACAAGTGCCTGTGTTACAATGCTTTACAGAGCTGAGGAGCATCAAAAGAAAAGACACAAATCCCAAACTTTTCACTATTTTCCCAATTTTAAAACACACAAATTCCTATAAATTCTGGGCTCCAGAGGTATTAACAGCAGCAACTACAAGCCACACTCTCAAGTTCAGCTGCAGCTAGAGATGAAGCTTCTCTACCTCAACAGTATCCACTGTCTGGCCTGGAGTTGCAACTGTGTACACCAGAAATGCCCCAGCTTTTCCAACAGCATGAGTAATGGGAGCAATGGCCCATTTTATGAAAGCACTCACAGCCATTCCACACTCCAAGACAAGGTCTTGGGGTTTGGCTACCCAACAAGTACTGATGTGCATGTACTGCAGTTCCTCACTTCTGCTATGATAAGCTAGGGAAGCTACAGCTGTCCACAGTCTGTGGTCTGGAGCTGGTAATGTTAACAGCTCTACTTCCACTTAGATATAATTTAGGGCTGCCTAACTGGCAGCCCACAAGGGGTTAAATCAGGGGTTGGCAATTATTCGGGCCTGAGGGCCACTTAGGGAGTTTTGGTGAGCTGTTGCAGGCCAGGTCAGCACCTCCCTCCCCCGTGCTAGGTCAGCACCCTGCACCCTGAATGTCTGTTCTGTGCACAGACGGGCAGATAGGATGAGGCCAAGGGTGGGTAGGGAGCAGCATCCAGTAGTGGTACAGAAGGGTGGGGCCCTGCACACCCCTGCAACAGGCTCTGGTTCTGCAGGTGGGGGATGGAGAGAATGGATTGCAGCTCTGCCTCAGGCCTTTGCCCTGAAATCCCAGGGTCTCCAGGGAGACTGGCCAGGACCCACATGGGAAGGGCGCATGGCCAGGTATACAGGATGGGCCCTGTCACTGTGTGGGATGATGAGACTCTCGGGAGCAGGAGGGATTCTCCCCTGACAGTCCCCAACTGGTGAGGGATCCGGGCCCTGAAAGGGTTGAGGGTTGGCTTACCTTACCATTCATCAGTCAAGCCCCAGAAGTGGAGGTGCACGCAGTGCCTCCATACTGCTTTAAAAGCATGATTTCCCTGTGTGTGGGGCGGTGCACAACTGATGATGCCATAAAAAGGCATCCAGGGCTCAGCAAGGGGCAGCTCATGGCAAGGAAGTGGCAGCAGTACAGGCTGCAAGGAGCTTTTCCATGGACCCGGCAAGACCTGATGAGGACACCAAGGAGCTGCCGGTGAGCCAGACTGAGGGAGACCCAAAGGGGTCTCTGCCCCCAAAGACAGAGAGTGAGAGGTGAGCACCTGGCTGGTGGGACCTCCCTTTCCATCCATGATTTCCTGACAAGCAAGAAGTGGCAGGAGAGTAGAAGGGAGACCCACCTCAGGGTAGGAGGCTCCAAGTGCCTGTAGGGGTGCAACACTAGAGGCCCTGAGAGAGGTGATTGGCATGGGGACCATGACATTTGGACCTGTGACCTCGCTACCAGCCCTCCTCTGGAGACACAGCCTTAGGTAGGTGGGTGGGGAACAGCATCCAAGAGTAGACATGCTGGGCCAAGGCTAGAATCTTGGAGCAGTGACAGTGTGGGGCTGGAGCCCAGGGACAGATCCATGATCCACTCCCTGCACACATCTGCCTGAGGAACTGGCACCTGTCACAAGGGTGTGTAGGCAGTGCATTGGGGCTCTGCCCCAGGCCCCAGCCCCACACTGTCACTGTTCTGATCCCATCCCATGGTCCTGGGCTCATCCGTTCTGCTCCTTGCCCATCTACAGCCCCATCCCACCCACCTAGCCATGAAGCCGACCTGCGTGGGTTCACCTCTGGTGGTGGGTGTGGGGTGGATGGGCCAGGGTGCCCAGGCAGCAGGGCTGGGTCTGGCAGTGCCAGCAGGTGGAAGGAGCTGCTGATGCCAGGGCTGCCAGGAAGTGAATCTGGCCATGGCACCAGTTTTGCTACACACCCAGGGATGGTGGTACCAGCTGCATTAATCACAGCCCGGGCTGCCCCCTGTACCTTGGCCACATGGGGTCAAGGGACCCACCGTTGGTCAGACAAAATCCTTTGGCGGGTCAGATCTAGCCATATTTTGCCCACCCCTGGGTTAAACTGTGATCACCAGGCACCTGCCCAGCTACTGATCCTCCTGCTTTACCTGCAGTAGTAGCCTGAGTCTCTGGGCTGTTGTCTTCCTGCCCCTGCCCCAAAACACAGACTCCATGAGAAGCCCTTAGTGCAGACCTAGGGAATGTTCAGCCTCTTTGGCAGTAATAATACATTATACATGTTTCAGGAAACAATCCTCTTTCTGTTACTGGTAATTTTATATAAACTGACTAAGCGCTGCAGGATAAAATGGGTCTTTGAATACAGGTCACACTTTATGGTAGCACTTAGGAAGGCTTTGAAGTGGTGTTTTGAAGAAAGGGCATGTCTATTCTTGGTGATTTTTAAAGGCTGGTTTCACTGTTTGCAACAGAGTATCATTCATCTAATTACCACTAGATGGCTGCATCATTCACATATGAGTTCCAGGAACACCACAGTTTTCTGACTGGAATCCAATATGCAAAACCCAGGTGGAAAAGAAGTGAAATGTAAGTGCCAGGATCATAGGGGGAACGGCCCAGCTGCGCTATTCCATGTGATGGCTGGGTATTCCAGGGGGTAAAATGGCCAACCACAAGCAGGTCAAGCAAAGGCAAGGTGAGACCATCAGTGTGTTGCTGGGACATGACCAGAGATCTGGGCTTTCCATTTCCCATGGAAAAACAGAGTAAAACCTGGATATCCTTCCTTACTGGAGAAAAAAGCAGATTTCCCATCTTAGCAGTGAAACCCATGGATTTTGCAGTTTTGCAGTGAGCCTTCTGCAGCCTGGCAGAGTTCCAGCCTGCAGGGGGGCAGGAGGGAGAGGGAGGAGGGTGGTGAGGCAGAGGATGTGCACATGGCTGCCAGGCAGCCTGGAGAGCAGCTCCCACAGGTAAGTCGGGAGGGGGGAGAGGGGGGTAGAATTGAGCCCCCATAGGGAAGGAGGGGAGGAGTTGGGCAGGGCTGGGGCTGCTGCCTAGCTGGGCAGTGCATGGGGCTTGGGGCCCGGGGCCCAAGTGTGTGGCTGCAGGGACCCTGCGGGGAGCAGGATGGGGCCACAGGCAGCTCATTTTGGGGGGTGGGGAAAGCTGCTTGCTGCTGTGAGCTCCGTGCTGCCCTGGTGATGCATCCCCTGCATGTGCAGTAGCTTTGAGGGGCACAACTCTGCGTCGTTGCCTTTACTGCAGCTGCCAGGGGCTGCGTTGCCAGGGCAGTGCAGAGATTGCGGTGGCAAGCAGCTTTTCTGTGTGGCTCAGCTGTTCCCTGCCCTGCTGGGTCACACCCCTGGGCTGCGGAGGCCCCAGGGGACGGCAGCAGGGCGGGAGCCCGAGCCCACAGCATGCAGCCCACGCCCGCCCCCATCCCTGTCCGTGCACAGATCTGCAGGATGTGGGTCCCCCCACCCCCTGGGGAGTGCGTGCTGTGGCAGGGAGCCACCTGAGCCCAGGGCAGGCAGCAGGGGGAGCTGGGCTCTGCTCCAATGTAGCAGCCGCCACCTCTTCCTGGGGGCAGGGCGTGGCAGACCCGGGTCCCTGGCTCCATAGCCTTGGCAGCTGGGGGCCCCTCCGGCAAGGGCTATGGGAGGAGTGAGAGGCACAAGCAAGGGGACTATGTTTAGTCATGGATTTGGGGGGTTTTATTAGAAAATGTGTGATTTTTTTATCAGAGAATTCGCAATTTTTTATCAAGGAAAACCAAGATCCTTGGACATGAAACATCATGAGGCGATTTCAGGGCCGTCTCACTGACACGGGAAGCTGAGAGAACCTTCTCACTTTACATCCCAGCAGCTCTACTGACTGCAGTGGAGTGAATCCAGATTTACACCAGGATTAAAATCAAGATAACTTTTCTCCATAGGACTGAAGTGACAACCAAAGGAAAGCTCTAATGCTCTGTACAGCATGTAGCTGCACTGCTCATAAGACAAGTGTCACAAACCAAATAGGAAACATAGGTAACACGATTCAATTACTACATCAGCTATGGAAAACCTTGTGGAGTCCTTCCCAGGGCCTTATTTAAAGCCTTGAAGGAGCATTCAACAGACTCTGCATCAGGCTCAGGCTGCACAGAGGGTAACAGCTCACTGGCTACCTGTAAGTTTTGCACCAGGGGAAGGCCATGAGATTCAGAACACCATTTCTGCTGTTGTCACCATCTCAGAAAGTGCTTGGCTATGTTGCTGCCAGATGGAGGCAAGAAGCCCTCCTACCTGCTTGATGGCTGCATTGTTGTGGAAGGCCTAGGAGTTTGAAATGGACCTGAAAGCACTCACATTTTCTTCCTCACTCTCTGCCCCTCCTAGTGCCAGCTACCAGAGTAACTTTGCATTTACAATGGTAATGAGTTGGTTTACTCAGATGACTTCTCAGGAAAGCTGTCTTCCCTGATAACACCTGTGCAAATGTTACTGGTCATAGACCAAAGTGCAAACCTGCCAAAACAATTTCAGTAGTCTGGGCCTAATCACTCTTATCTATTTCTGTTTTCCCATATAAATGTAGTCTTTGAGGATTCATCCTCCACCAACAGGCTCTCACCTTCTTGCAAACTCCTTAGACCAAGGGCGGGCAATGATATGCAATTACCAGCACCCCCCACCCCCTCCAGTTGAATAGCTCACCAAAACTCCCTACGTGGCCCCGTTCTGTCTGCCTGCCCACTTGCTCTGCTCGTGTGGGTCCCAGCTGATCTCCACAGAAACCCCAGGATTGTGGGGCAGTGACAGCATGGGGCCAGGCTGGGGCCTGAGGCAGAGCCATAATCCGCTCCCCACATGCACCTACCCGTGGAAAACATGGTCATCACAGGGGCATGTGGGGAGCTGATCACGGCTCTGCCCTGGTCCTGCGCTGTCACCACCCTGTGATCTCACTTAATGATCCCAGCCTCACCTGCCTGTCCCACTCCCAAACACTGCTCCTCACCTGTCTGTGCGGCTCTTGCCCCCAGCAGTGGGTGTGGGGTGGACTCACTGGGCTGCCTGGGCAGTGAGTCCAGGTCTGGTGGCAGCAGGTGGAAGGTGCCACCACCACTGGGAAGTAAGTCCTGCTGCTGCCCTGCCCCAGCCCTGCTGTGCCACGGGGTGGATAAAATTCCCAAGTGAGCCATATATGGCCTGTGGGTCATCTTTTGTTCACTCCTGCCTTAGATCTTTGCTACATGTATGACTCATCAGAGCAACACCTCATTCTTTTAACCAGACTTCTCCCATTTCCTTACTACAAGCAGATGGGCATTTCCAAATGAAGCAGCATTCAATGAAGAATCAGTGAAATGCTATTAGCCTGGGACCAGCTATAATTAGCAGCTTTAAAGTAATGAACTCTTCCCAGGTTAATTACTTAAATAGGGTTTTAAGTTGGAACGAAGACATCGGCCTAGTGCTTTTGGATCATTTATCGACTGTAAGACTGTAGTTGCCATGTGCTATCTATGTAGAATTATGGAAGTTGGAGGGAAAGAGGCCTGTTACCTTAGCCTGCCCACTTCAGTGTCAGCTGCAGAGCTGGGAACAGAACCCAGGCTCCTCAATTAAGTTTCTAGTGTATGGTCTAGGTTTATTTTAAATACCTTTCAAAAATGGGGCTTCCATCTTATTAATAATGCGTATTATGGTTGTGTTTCAATAATTCAACAGAAACTAGGTCTTTACAAGAATGGGACCCAGAACAATTCAGCAGAAACTGGGTCCCATTCTTTACAATGCTGTGAAGAGAAAGGCCCTGCTCAAGTGGTTTACAGTCTAAATGGACAAGAAATACAATGGCTGGGAACAAGAACAGAAGGGGAACTAGCACAGAAAGGTGAAGTGACTCATCTAAAATCTTATAGCAGGTCAGCTGCAGAGCCAGGAACAAGACCCAGGTTGCTTAACTAATGCACAGTGTTCGGCATTCTTGGTTTCTATTTTTTTAAAAACCTGGGAATTTTGGGGGATTTATCTTCAAAACATAAAAACCAGGATGAAACTAAGGTAAAAGGAAGAAAGGGGGGGTGCCACAAATTGGGGGAAAAAATCAGCGTTGAGGAAGGGACTAGAGAATGGGCAGTGGGAGGGGCGAGGTGCAGCCTGTTGGCTGCTCCGAGGGCTGCAGCAGGGAGCAAAGCAGGGGGAGCCGTCAGTGGGTGCGGGGCGTGGCTCTTGTTGCTATGTGCATCCCGGGAGGGCTGTGGGCTGGGGAGTGTGCCCCTGGATCTGCGCCCAAGACGAGAGCAGGCTGCCATCTGTCCCAAGCGCCAGGAAGAGCCTGGTGACACCACTGGCCTCAGGCTCTTCCTGGTGCTCCAGGAGGGCAGCACCCTGCTCTTGCTGCAGCCTGCTGCCACTGCAGGCTGGGGCTGGTGGTGGCACCACGGGTGCTTGGGTCAGGTGGCACCACTGTGGGGGGGACCGGATCCCAACCCCAGCACCTCGTGCCCCACCTGGGGTCAGAGCTGGGAACCCTACAGTTCTAGGCAGTGGCTACAGCCCCACGGGCCTGTGCTGAGAGCCTGGGTGCAGCCCCCTGCCAGTGGGAGTGGGGCCGGGCTCTTCCGCCTGTTCCCCCAGTGGGGCTTGGGGCTTGCAGCTCCCAGCGCCTGGGGCAGGACCAAAGCCAGAGCCGCCATGGTGCAGGTGGGACCTGCCCACCCCAGGAGTGATTCTCATGGCCTGTCCCGCTCAGGGTCAGACCTGGGTGCCCTGTGCCCCCAGGCAGCGGCTCTAGACACCCTCCCTCAGCCCGCATGTGGCCACCGCCACCTCCTCATCCCCTGCTCCACGTGTGGCTGCTGCCACTGTCCTCCCACTCCCAGGCCACATCTGTCTGGAAACCTGTGCCTCAGGTAACTGGCACAGAGGCGCTTTTTAGCTTACCAGCACCATCTGTTTTTCAGTTCAAGTCCCTGTTTACCAGCACAAGTGGGGAATGGGCCATTCCCCACTCATGCTAGTTAACAGGGACTTGAACTGAAAAACAGGTGTAAATCAGTAAAAACCGAATGACTTAAAAAAATCAGGGAATTTAACAGTGAAAAAAAATTGGCAAAAATTGAGAATGTGGAACACTACTAATGCAGGTAGCTTGACTCCCAGTTTTATGTACTAGCTTACAGACTGAGCAACCTGTGATCTTGGTGTATGACGTGCACAAATGCAATGTTTAAAATGTATTGTGGATGGGTCAATAGTTGTATAAGTCACTACATTGAAAATGAACACTTGTACTGAGGGAGTAAGAATGTGCAAGCTGCATCATCCTGTCTACTGCAGCATACTGTACTTTATATTTATAGACAGTTTGCTTCTTTTTGATGTGACAGAACAGAGACATGCAGAGATATGCACCAGCTCTCTACAGTGACCACCTGTCTCCTTGCATTTATGTAGCATCTTTTGTGAGTTAGTGGGTTGCTGAGGTGAGACAATTCTATTTGTAACCTTTAGACTGCTCCACAAGCCCCAAGAGCTCCAGAAAATGACAGCACAATCTTCTGTAACATGATTGAGCAAAAGAGCATCCAGGCCACTGGGCTCTATGGTTTGGGACTTGTCACTGAACTGCAACCTCAGACAACTCATTTCACTTCTCTGTTTCCCCTCCCACCCTTTATGCACTCTTTAGGGCAGAGACAATATATGATACATATGTATAGCACATGGAATATTTTAGGTAACCAGCACTCAGAAAGTTGAATTGGTACCAGTTGAAATTGTACCAGTTGAAATTGGGACAAGGGCTGCTAGGGTAAATAATGACTTTCTTGGGTTGCCCTGGTATCAGGCTAACCCCCACCCCTCCCACCCTGGGCATGTCCACATGTACCATTACAGAGCAGCAATAAACTGGAGCTTATTGCTCTGCAGTTTATTGCTCCCAGGAAGCTCCCTGGGTGCACATCTGTACGTGCACCCGAACCACAGCACATTGATCTGGGTCTCAGCAGCCCCAGCTGACAGGAGGCTCTGGGGGTCAGACTGCCAACCCAGGGCTGCCCCAACTAAGCTCAGTGTGCTGAAGAGGGGCTGGCTGGGGCACGAGGATGCTTCAGTGTGAGGCTAAACAGCAGGCCCAGCCAGCTAGCTAAATTTCTACATGTGCACTGCCGAGCACAAAAAACTCCACAGCAGGATAAGACATGTATTTACAAGTCGTACCCTGCTGTGGAGTTTATCAGTTTCGTGCACCCTAATAGGGGCACACGTGTAGATGTGGAGATGTTTACTGCACAGTTAATTAGGCAACTGTGAAGTAAACATCTTTGTGGCCCCTGTGTAGACAAGACTTCAGTGGACAAAATCTCTGAAGTCAGTTGCACTTCCATACATCAGGGCTGAAGGAGCCCCTGTCTAGTTACACACAGACAGTGATACACGCCCTGGGTTTACCTTCTTCTCATTAATTTCCAGCTGTTCCTTTTCCTCATCTGCATCTGCTGGCAAGTCTTTGATTTTATTCAGCAGCTCTGCCTTGGATGCTGACACACTGTAGTAGGCAGGACAGGTGACCATTGTTACAGCAGGTTCCTTTTCTTCTTTCCTAAGCCATAATAAACAAGTCATGCTCCCATCCAAAGAGAAGCTCAGTTTGGCTTTTACTCTTGACTGTTCCTATCTAAGGCCTCTCTAGTGTATTCATTTGCAACGGTGGCACCAACCTTCTGGCCCTGTGGGCTGGATGAGCGGCATGGGTCAGTCCATGGGTGGGATCCAGCATGGGATTAATGCATAGGATTGGTCCCTGGGCCCAATCCAGCTGTGAGCTGGCCTGATTAGACACTGGTCTGTTTCCGCTGCATACTGGCTCAAACCTGCACTTCTGGATCTGGCATGATGTGTACAGGGCAACGTTATCTGGCCGGTGGATCTCCCCACATGTGCAAAAATTTGGTAGCAGGGGAGCAGCAATTAACATTACCACTGTTCCTTCTCCACCAAATTTTCAGACCTTTGAGGAGCCTTGAGGAGCCCCATGGGCTGGATATCACAGCTTCTCAGGCAGGATCAGGCCCACAGGTTAGGGGTTCAGAATCCTGATTTGAAATAGTTTATTAATATTAAGCTGTGAAGAAGAGTGCTAAATTTCACCAGCAGAGGGTGCCTGGCAACTGTTTTCCACTCTGGAAAAAATGCTAGCACAATTGCACTGATATTTAGTTGTTAACTGAGCATCACCCTCAACAGTGGGGCCAGGTGTTCAGCTAGCGTAACAGAACCTCACAAAAGTCACTTTAACTGAATAACTACTCTGGCATAACCAATTATAACTAATTGCAACAGTACTTCAGATATTGCACTTGACCCTCTACTTTACAGTGTGTTTGGGGAAATTTTTGTAGAATACTGTAGGATTTTTACAGCAGATATCCCTGGGTCTACCTCCAGAATCCTGCCCCTCAAAGACTGGCACCTATTTGCTTTTCTTACCCGGAGGTAATGCTACCGCTTTTGTTGGAATTATTCTGATTAGAATGGTGGAGGGATCAGAACAAGGTGATTTATCTCTGGTTTGGCTGCAGAGAAATGCTGATGCATGGACTGGTGTATAGACCAGTCAGCATTGGGGAGAGAAGGTGGCAAGGCCAAAAGCAATGCATAACCAAGCTACTAGGAAACCATTTTGAAGAATGGCATTTTAAAGAATGGCCCATTGCTCAGCAGTGCTTCCACCATATTGGCAGGAGGAATCCAGCGTTGTGTGTTTTCTTACAAGTGAGCAAAAATGAACTCTTCTTCTACACTAGATGAAAACCCAAAATAATATTGCTTACCTGTCCTCCTCAGACACCATCTGGCTGGCTTGCTTTTGCATCACTTTTCTTTGCATATTGTTCTCTTTTAGCAATCTGGTTGCACTGGGAAAAATCCCTTCCATTAGATCCATGGTTGTCTTCATTTTGGAGTCTGGATCCAAGATATCAGCCAATGACTTATCCTTGTTGACGATCTCTTTGGCTAGCGCCTCTGATTTAATATCCTCTGGGGTCTTCTCCATCTTTACTTGACCAGCTGAGCTGTGTATCCCACCACTAAAGCCACCATTTTCCACATCTGTACTCAAGATAGCTGGCTCCTTCAGGTTGCCTTTGAGTTGCGCTGTAGGCTGCTTATCAGAGTTTAGAAATCCTCCATGAGTGGCAGGTGACTGGTGTTGAGTGTTCAAGGCAGGTGAAGAGCCAGTTCTCTTAGACCCAATGTTTCCAACAGGTGATGAAGTCCAGCTGTTTTCACTGAAAATGGTGCTCATCCCTGGCTTCCTCTTCTCAGCCAGACTCTTGGGAAACCTGCAAAAGTTACTATTAACAGAAAAGTTTTATGATAAACATGTATTTGCCAGTCTGGGAGAAAACATTGAGGTGATCAGGATCCTTCTGGAGAACATATAGCAAGGGCACAACCACACTACAGGGTTGTAGGAAATTACATTTCCCTTTTCCCTACCCTTTGTCTGACCAGTACAGTTAGATTGACTGTAAGCTGTTTGGGGCAGAGACACCTTCTACTATGCACTTGTATGTAAACAAAGCCAATTCTTGTAAATTAATGGCACTAGTAGTAAGTTGTTTTCAAGATTATGAACAAGGAAGCTTCAATATTTCAATAAGAAAAAAATGAATGAGTGAAAACTGGTTGCTTTTGATGGTATGGGATATCTACTGTTTTTACTCTTCATTGTACCCAACAAATTAATCCTTGTGGGGGATTGGGGAAATAGAACAGCAGCTGTCACTCCAGCAAGTATTAAGGTAAAAGATGCACAAACAAAAAATAAGTCAATCAGCTTTACAGTTCCAAGTTGAGATATTTCTTCCCCTCATGAATGAGCACTAGCCTAACTGAACCATGTTCTAGCCACCCTTCTCACAATGGCAATGAACATCCCTTTATCAATGGGGATGAAAAAGCGAGTTCTTAAAGGCTTAATGGGCTAAGTACTCAACTGATGTAAGTCAGGGTCCTTGAAAATCGGCAAGCTATGCCAATTTATACACCCTGAGGATCTGGCGCATGGTTTCCACTTCCAGAAATTTATCCTGCAAGATAAACTCCTTACCTTATGGTATTGTGGTACAGTACATTGTCCCACAGTGCAGACATCATGCTGTGGCACGACAGTTGTGCGCTAGCTCCATAGTTTATTTTGGGATAACTTAATGATCCTGCAAACCTCGGTTTTATGAGGGACAGAACCTCTCAAAACTAGCCCTACCCTATGACAACTGGAATGGAGAGTAATAGTGTTAGCACTACAGTTTGTGTTGAATAGAGGCCTAACACACAGTTAGGGCCCAGAGCAAACACTGCAGGAAAGCAGAGGGAAAGTGGTTCTGAGAGCAGAGGCAGTTCGGGGTGGGGGCATGTACAGGTTCTAAGATCAGAATTGGGCGGGGGGTGCAGCAGCCTTATCCATTCAAGTAACTTTTAAATAGTCCTCAACTGAGCTGTGTGCTCTGCTGCCTTGGCTGCTGCTCTTGAAATAGCAGGAGCAGCAGCAGCAGCTCAGAACTATTTTGGAGTTCCTAGTATGGGTAAGTTGTGAGGCTTCTCTTGTTGCTAGGGCACAAATTCTGCAGGAGCGTGTGTGTATATGGGGGGTGCGATTCCAGCACCCCTCTGGATTTGATCCCCAGCATGGGTACCCCTCTTGCCCACCCCTAGTTATGCTACTGGTGCTGAATTCCAAACACAGGGGCTGATTCTCCTTGCAAGCTGCTGTAAATAAGAAGCAACTCTCCTGAGTCTACAGTGTAACTGGGGGGAGAACCAGACCCATGCATCCTATCATTCACAGACCCAGTGATAGCCGTAGACCTAGGCAATCTACACAGTTTCACAGGACATAAGGTAATCAGAACTCTTCCACCAACACATGATGGCTTCAGCTGCAGCTTTGTCAACAGACCACCATACTTGGTGCCTCCTCCTTGTTTAGTATTCTTCCCAGTCCTCTCATTGTCTGACAACAGTGCCTGGGGCTGGGAAAGCCTGGTGCTAGAAACTGCATGTGGTTGTCTTCCTTTCCAGCTTCTTTCCCTGTATATGTACTCCCTAGCATTCCCCCTGGCAAATGGTAATGGTGGATAAGTCCCACACTTTTTGTAAAGTCAGGTCCAAGGGGATGCATCCATGTGTCTTATATAGCCCAAGGCTGGCTTGGGTGGGCCAGGATGGTAAATGGCATTTCAGCTATCCCTTACCTCATTTTGGCCTCCTCTGCAGTCCTTGTGGTTGTGCTTCCTTCTTCTCCACCTGCCTCAAATGAAGCTGACGGAAGAGGAGGAGGTGGCAATTCCTCCCAGCTCCTTGCAGAAACATTGGGGTTTGGCTCAGGAAGAAGAGGTGGTGGCAGTGGAGTGGGGAAGCATTTAACTGTGGCCCCTGCAACACCAAGCTCTGATTCCTTGATAAACACCTCATCATTGTCATCTTCCTGCTGCACTGGTGGCAGAGCAAGCTGAAGGCATGACTCAGAGATCCGTAGAGAGATGTTCGCATGGGGAGGAGGAGTCTTGGGACTGGAAGTGCTGCTTTGGGTTGGTAGGCTCTGCCATCTCTGAAAGAACTTCTGCCCAGAAACTTGAGAAGAGGCAGAATCCTTTGAAAAGCTGCTATCTCCGACTGAATGAGCCCACTGAACGTTTGATGGGACGGATCTCTGAACCAGCACGGCCTTCTCTCTCCACATCCCTTCTTCTGCTGAGCTCTCAGGGGAGCTAGTCTCAATGTCCAGGAGCTGTGACTGAAGATCATCACTTCCCTCTGAGAAAACAGCCTCTGGTTTGGCATGCCATCTCAGTGCCTGGCAGTCTCCAGAAGACTTCAGGTCTGAGGGAGTCTGGGTGGAACGAGCATTGTTGAATGAGGAATGACTAGATTCAATTGGAGTAAAGTTAAGGAGCAAGGATCTAGGAGCCACCTTTTGCTCAGAAACGTGACTCTTTGCTTCTGTTGGTGAGAAGACAAATGCTGAAGCCTGACTAGCATGCCTAGAGAGTTCTTCAGCCTTGTGGGTCTCAGCCAGAGCAGATGAATTGGTGATGACCTCATTGTCGTGGGGTGGGTGGGTGTAATAACGTGTGAATGTTGGCTTTTCCAGATGGCTTCTTTCTTTATTGCTTGATGACCTAGAATGAGATGCTCCTATGACAAATCTAATATTTTCAGAGGGGCAGCAAAGTTTTCAAACGGCCCTTTCAAAAGCAGAGTTCAGATTATGCTAAAGCCAATTTCTGCCTCCAATTTAAGTGGACTTTTGTACAGTTCCACTGGTGAACTGATGGTAAAACCAGTTATTCCTGCTTCAAACACCCAGGGCAAATTCTACAAAGGTATTAAGACACTTTGGTCAGGATTCAAAGCATCTCAGTTCATGGCCTTAATGTACCCATTGCCCCACATAACTTTTGAGTGCCTGCCCCAGGAAGTGGGTTCAAAATGACCTAGTTAGCTCCTTAGGGTCCTTACAGAGTTAATGGGGAAAATTTGGAGATGCCTAAGAACAATTCAGATTTGGGTACCCTATATGGGGAATAGGGAGCAGCAGGTGCCTCTTAAGGGCTATTCAAAAATTCTAGAGATGTGTAGAGGTAGCTGAGAGGATTCACTAAAGCCCCTCTCAGGAGCTTCAGTGCTTGAGACAAACTATCCACTGGGTGTCTCTACTCATTTGTGACTCACTACACTTACAGCCTTGTTACAGGTGATTTTGGGTGGCTCCTGGGACTCTTAACACCAGGACTGTCTGTGCATTAACACCTGAAACCCAGTTTTAAGCACTCATTAGGCAGTTCAAAGTTGTGCCACTCATGGGCAGGATTATCTCTGATCCGTGCTACCCAGCTCATGTTACGCTAAGGTGTAGCCACTCCACCTGCCCCCCCATCCCTGCTGGCCCACTATGTCCCCCCTCCCAACTCCCCAGAAACCCAGATCCCACTCACTGCCTTCCCCATGCTTATTTGTGGCTGCTCACACTGTCTGTCCCAGGAGAGCAGGCAGGGAAGAGGTAACTTACCTGCCTGGCCACCACTGCTCTCTGGGCTGGGCTCAGCCCTGAAAAGAGCAGCAGCCCAGCATCCCCAGGTGGACAGGGGGGGAAACCCATAGGCTGTGGAAGGCTGGGGCTAACAGAACTAAACCCCACAAAATTCAGGGCAGAGTTGGCCACACAGAGGGCCACAGGGCAGCCTGGGCATGGGCTCCAGGCAGCTACAGAAGGGGAGGCACATGGACACAGCCACCCAGCTACAGCCTGCATGCAGCCAGGATTGCAACCTGGCATTGTTGAGCACTGCTAGGGTTACCATATGTCTCGGTTTTCTGAACATTTCCTCTTTTTGAGTCCACCTATCTCCATCCAGGTTGGTTTTTGAAATCTGAGCAAGTGTCTCGTTTTTTGCTTTGCTCTGCTGGTGGGAACAGGAGGAGCAGTGATTGTAGGCAGGGAGCTGCAGGTAGGTAAGTCTGGGTTGTGGGGCTGGGGCTAGGGCAAGGCAGAGGGGCCTGGGGGTTGCCTGCCCCCTCCAGAGGGAAGGCGGCGGGGGACCTTTTGAGCCATAGCCAGGCCAGCAGCACAGGGTGGTGCCTGTGTTTGCAGGGGCAGAGTGGACATGAGATGCTGTGGGGGGGAGGGGGTGGTGGGCCATGGACAAGCCTCCTGGCATGACGTGGCAGCCTCTGCCAAGGGCAGAGGGTGTCACAAGCCTCCCCAACTCTTCCCCCCAGCCCACACCAGGGCTGGACTCACACCCAGCCACCATGCTCTGGCCTGCTTGGGATGGTGGCAGCTGGGACCCCTTCAGCAGGGCTGGGGGGAGCAGCGGGCTGCAGGTCAGGAGTAAGGGGCACCAGCAGAGCTGGGGACGAGCAGGGGGCTGCTGGCTGGGAGTGAGAGAAACCAGCATGGCTGAAGTCTGTGGGTCAGGGGTGAGGGACGGCAACAGGGCTGGGGGGACTGTGGTTTGGGAGCGAAGGGCAACAGAATGGGCAGAGGCAGGGCACTGCCATATCACTGCCTCCTCACAATCATGCAGGGGCTGGGGTGAATGAGGCCCCAGGGTGGGTCATGGGACAGCTGGAGCCTGGGTAGCTTGTCCAAGGTTGCTGGGGGGCTCCCGCTGCTGTGCACATCCTGGGGGAGGCATGGGGGACATGTGCCCCCTAGATTTGTGCGCAGGGTGGAGGCAGGCTGCCACTGTGGGCTGCAGCTCTGTGCCCCAAAGCTGTTGCCGCAAAAGCCATGTGACATCCAGTGCCTGCCACCGCTGGGTTTCATTGCATTCTCTGTCCATCTGGCAGTGGCAGGCACACGGCCTTGCATGCAGCTCCTGAGGCAGCGCCAGCAGGGCACAGAGCCCAAGCCTGTAGCAGCAGGCTGCCCCCACCCCGTGTACAAATCCAGGGGCCACATGCCCCCTTTGCCTCCCCTGAGGTGAGCACAGCAGCAGGAGCTCCTCCCTCCCCCCCACCCATGCCCCTGGATGAGCTGCCTGGGCTCCAACTGCCCCACAACCTGCCCCAGCCTTGGGACCCCATTCACCCCAGCCCCTGTCCCACTCCCTCCCTCACTGTGGGGGCCTCGATCTGCACCCCCATGCCCCTTCCCTCTTCCTCCACCCCTTCCCCTCCACAGACTTACCTGCTGGGTGGTTGGGGTGTGTGTGTGAGTGTACTCAGCCCCCCCAATAATATTTTCTCCCTTTGGATAAGAGGGAGCCCTGGGGGTGGGGAGAAATTGGGGGAGCCCTGGTGGCAAGCCCAGATTGCAGGAAAGGGGGATTCTTACCTTTCAGTCCTCCAGGTCCCTGCTGGCCTGGACATGTGACTGCTGCAAACTCCAGCTAGCACTAACACTGATCAACATTTGTATGGGTCAGTGTACCATGTAACAAGGGACTTAGCCCAATTTTTGAGATAGATGCCTAACAGATTTCTAAACATAGATAATTCACAATACCTAGTCTTGAAAGAGTCAAACACTGGGTATGATTTTCTTTAGACAACTAATGGAAGTTTCCTGATCACAGGCCCTGGTTCTCACGTGGGACTTCAATCACCCTAACATCCGCTGGGAGGGCAATACAGCAGTGCACAGGTAATCCAGGAAGTTTTTGGAGAGCACTGGAGACATCTTCCTGCTGCAAGTGCTGGAGTGGCTAACTAGGGACCATGCTCTTCTTGACCTGCTGCTCACAAACAGGGAAGAATTGGTGGGGAATGTAGAAATGGATGGCAAGCTGGGCAGCAGTAACCATGAGATGATTGTGTTCAGGATCCTGACAAAAGGAGGAAAGGAGGGCTGCAGAGTATGGACCTTGGACTTCAGAAAAGCAGACTTTGATTCCCTCAGGAAACTGATGGGCAGGATCCACTGGTAGGGCAGTCTGAGGTGGGAAAGGAGTACAGGGGAGCCGGTTGTATTTTCAAGAAACCTTACTGAGCGCACAGGAACAAACCATCCTGATGTGCAGGAAGAATAGCAAATGTGGCAACTGATCAGCTTGGCTTAGCAGAGAACTCTTCAGTGAGCTTAAACACAGAAAGGAAGCTTATAAGACGTGGAGACTTGGACAAACAACCTGGGAGTAGTATAAGAATAATGCTTGGGCATGCAGGGATGAAGCCAGGAAGGCTAAAGAGCAATTGGAGTTGCAGCTAGCAAGAGACATGAAGGGTAACAAGAAGGGTGTTTACAAGGATGTTAGCAACAAGAGAAAGGTCAGGGAAAGTGTAGGTTCTTTACTGAATGGGGGAAGCAACATAGTGACAGATGATGAGGAAAAGGCTGTAGTACTCAATGCCTTTTTTGCCTGTGAAAACCGAGGTATGGTCAGCTCCCAGACTACTGCACTGGGCAGCACAGTTTGGGGAGAAGGTGAGCAGCCCTCAGTGGTGAAAGAACTAGGGGCTATTTAGAAAAGTTGGACACGTACAAGTCCATGGGGCTGGATGCAATGTATCCAAGGATGCTGAGGGTGATTGCAGAGCCATTGGCCATCATCTTGGAAAACTCATGGTGATCAGTTAAGGTCCCAGCTGATTAAAAAACGGCAAACATAGTGTCCATAATTAAGAAAGGGAAGAAGAAGGATCCAGGGAACTACAGACCAGTCAGTCTCACCTCAGTCTCTGGAAAAATCATGAAGCAGGTCCTCAAAGAATCAAATTGTAAGCACTTGGAGGAGAAGAATGTGATTAGGAACAGTCAGCATGGATTCAGGAAGAGCAACTCATGCCTGACCAGCCTGATTGCCTTCATAGATGGCTGGAAGGGACCTTACGAGATCCTTGAGTCAAGCCCCTCTGCCACAGGCAGGAAGTGGGATCAAATGATCCCAGCAGGATAAGCATCCAAATGCCTTTTGAAAGAGTTCAGAGTAGGTGCTTGCACCACCTCTGAGGGAGTCTGTTCCAGACCCTGGACGCTCGGACAGTAAAGAAGTTTTTCCTTATGTCTAGTTTAAATCAGCCTTCTAAAAGTTCATGGCCATTAGACCTTGTTATCACTTGGGGAGCCCTGATGAATAACTGTTCTCCCAGAGCCTGGTGCATCCCCACCTTATGTACTTACAAGCTGCCACCAAGTCCCCCCTGAGCCATCTCTTCTCCAAGCTGAAGAGTTCCATGTCTCTCCTCATAAGGCTTTCTCTCTTGGCCTTTGATCATGCAGGTGGCTCTCCTCTGGACTCTCTCCCTCCAATGCCCATGACCCGTAACCAAGAGGATCAAGGAACAAACTACCTGTCCCCTCAGACCCTTGAGCCCGGCCCCTAGAGCCCTCAGGATTGTTCCAAGCTGTGTTATTCATGTCTACGTGGATGAGTAGCATGGGGTGGTGGTTAGAGGGCCAGATGAGTTTGGAGGTCCTCGGTTACATCCTGGACATGACCCCATGGAAGGCAGTACACCTCACAGGCTAAGGGGTCAGGGTGACAGATCACTCCCTCTGTCCCCCTCAAGAGGAAGTCACCCACCATGATTACTCTGCACCTTCTCCTGGGTGTGACTGCTGCTGGCCCTCCGTCGCTACATGCTGGAGCCAGTGGCTTGACTGGCTCTAGTGCTGTATGGGGTTCAAATTGGATACACATCTCCAGGGGAGTGGTAACCCTGGTGCAGTGCTTGCTTCGTCCAGGCAACCCCTGGCTGGACTTCATGGTGGCTCTTCATTTCTGCCCTGGTGTTGCCAGCCCTCCTTACTCTTTCTACTTTGTTCTTCTGGTGGAGAGCCTGGTAGTAGGTGTCCAGTTCCTGTTCTACCTCCCCAATGGTGTGCAGCCTCTGCATCACTGCCTGGAGCTCTCTAATCTGGCATTCCAGGGGCTCCATCATTGAGCACACTCCACAAGGGAAGATGTCAGTGCTCCTAACCCAGCTGTCTGCATCCATGCTAGGCAGCTTCCACTGCCGGTGGCTAGGGGCTCCATCTGGGTGCAGGCTGGGACCATGGGTTATGCCCAGGTGCGGGCAGGGACCTCAGTATCCATTTGGATAGAGGCCAGAACCATAGGCTTTTTTTGGATGGAGGTCTCAGGGGTACCAGAGTGGGGGGCGGGGCGGGTCCAGCTGCAGGGACGAATTTCTTGGTGCAACATGTCCCCGCCACCATAGCACAGGTAATAGTCCGGGCTACTGCTGTGCTGACCTTTCTCTTGAGGCTCACCGCCTAGAGCCTCGTGCCCCTCCTGCACACCCTCCTGCACGAACTCCCATGCTAACTCATGCACCAGGCCTAGAGCATGTCTGTTTGCATACTCTGTTCACAAGGCTCCAGTTGTGTGGCTCTCTGCAATGCTGGGGGTCTGGGTTGGGGTCCACTGGGTGTGTGCTGGAGTCCTAGGGGTCCTGGGCTCAACAGGTGTGTGATGGGCTTCCACCTGTGCATTTCTCCCCAGAGCCAGGTCCAAACTACAGCTTCTGCCATTGGTGGGCACTTTTAAACTCTGCACATGCACAGTAGGGCCTGCTGCTGGCACTGTACCACCCTTGGTGGCTGGGCGTCCCTGTCCCGCTGGAGAAGGGGGCAGGTAAGTACCCTACCCTTCCCCAGTCCTTCACTATGGGGGGGAGAGCCAAGCAGAAGCCCCTACTTGGGGGCTCGGCCAAGTAGGAGATGGGGGGGCGTGACCCTCCTTAGCTCCTCTCAGCTGCCTAGCACCCACCCACTTCAGGCCCCACCTATCTCCCGGCAGTGCTGTGGGGTCTGGGTTGGGGTTTGCCAGGTGTGTGCTGGAGTTCCTAGGGATCCCAAGCTCAATGGGGGAATGATGGGCTTCTGCCCGTGCATCTCTCTCCAGAGCCAGGTCCAAAACCTCTCTATAATGAGATGACTGGCTCTGTGGATGCAGGGAAAGCAATGGACATAGTATACCTTGATTTTAGCAAGGATTTTTATACTGTCTCCCACAGCATTGTTGCAAGCAAGCTAAGGAAATATGGGTTGGATTAATGCACTGTAAGGTGACTAGAGAGCTGGCTGGATTGCTGGGCTCAGTGGGTAGTAATCAAGGGCTCAATGTCTAGCTGGCAGCCAGTATCAAGTGGAGTGCCCCACAGGTAAACCCTGGGGCTGGTTTTGTTCAATATCTTCATTAATGAATTGGAAGATGGGATGGATTGCATCCTCAACAAGTTTGCAGATGACACCAAGCTGGGGGGTGTAGTAGATATACCGGAGTGTAGGGCTAGGATTTAGAGAGACCTCAAGAAATTGGAGGATTGGGCTGAAATAAATCTCATGAGGTTCAACAAGGACAACTGCAAAGTCCTGCATTCAGGATGGAAGAATCCCATGCACTGCTACAGCTTGAGGACTGACTGGCTAAGTAGCAGCTCTGCAGAAAAGGACCTGGAGGTAACAGTGGACAATAAGATGGATATGAGTCAGTAGTGTGCCCTTGTTGCCAAGAAGGCTAACAGCATACTGGGTGGCATTAGTAGAAGCACTGTCAGCAGATTGGGAGAAGTGGTTATTCCCTTCTATTCTGCACTGATGAGGCCACATCTGGAGTACTGTGTCTAGTTTTGGGCCCCCTACTATAGAAAGAATGTGGACAAGTTGGAGATAGTTCAGTGGAGAGCAACAAAAATGGTTTGTGGGCTGGGGCACATGATTTGTAAGGAGAAGCTGAGGGAATTGGGTATATTTAGTTTGAAGAAGGACTGAGGGAGAATTTGATAGCAGCCTTTAACTACCTGAAGGGTAGTTCCAAAGACAATGGAGCTAGACTGTTTTCAGTGATGACAGGTGATGGAACAAGGAGTAATGGTCTCAAGTTGCAGCAGGAGAGGTTCAAGGTGGATATTAGGAAAAAATTTCTCACTAAAAGGGTGATGAAGCACTAGAACAGGCTAGCCAGAGAGGTGGTGGAATCTCCATCTTTGAAGGTTTTTAAGACCTGGCTCAACAAAGCCCTGGCTGGGATGATCTAGTTGGGGTTGGTCCTGCTTTGAGCAGGGCGTTGGACTAGAAGACCTCCTGAGGTCCCTTCCCACATGAATTTTCAATCATGAAAGATCCTGATTGTGAAACCAGGAAACCCTAAGTGCTAAGTCCACAGTTCAGCAAGATACTTGACACCTGTAGCAGATGTGGATAAGACACTGTAGTGGATGTGGATAAGGGTCAGTACCATGCTTGATCAGGACCAAGTAAGCAAATAGAAACACTGCCACATTTTTTTCTCCCATCTCTTTCAGCTGTGGCAACACAAGCCTGTAGGTCAAACAGACCTGAGCAGAAGTTAACAAATGCTTTATGCATAGGAATATGTGTTAGAAAAGGGGATTTGAGAGGCAGGGCTTACCTTGAACTAATTTTTATGCTTACCAGCATAGACCACCTAGTTCTGCCAGGCACTCAAAAATATTTTCTGTTACTGCACCCAGGGCATATGATCTGTGTAGCTCTTAACACTGCATATATCTATACAGATGATGCATTGAAAATGCTGCCAGAAATAATGGCGTTAGCACCACTTGAACCTCATCGTTACAGTGAGACAAGCAGCAACCTACCTGGCTCCTGCACTGACCACATAGAGAGGATCTTCCACCTCATGGCCAAATTCACTGCTTTCCCATACCAGAAAGTCCTGAAGCCAAAAAGAAGCAAAGTTAGCAGCAAGCAGAACAAAATCTGGGAGCTTTTTAGTCAAGGATTATTTTGTGTAATTTCTAGACGTACAGTAAAGAAAGGAAAGATGGCCTCATGGTTGGAGTAACATCAGGGAACATAGATGAAATTCAACCCAACAGATTCATCCCAGCTGACACACAACAGCTGGGCAGCATACCTACAAGCATTTTCCCCAAGAGGCTCCACACAGGGGTGATGACTCATATTCCACTCATGGGAATTATTGAAGGTGCTTTTAGAAATGCCATTAAGCAGTCATCCCCCTCACTTCCTTTGCACTCTGTCCTGGCCCCCCACTGGTCTCCCAGGGAAGAGGTCATTCTAATGGCTTTCTTGGCTGGGCACTCTGCAGCCTAGTTTACTTCAGCACAAGTCTGTGCAAACCAGAGCTGAATATTGCCCTGAGTCCTTAAGTGTCTCTAACCATGACATGATTGTCACACCACTGTCCTCCCTTCACACACTTCCTCTGATGGCCAGACAGGATGTGTCAGTACAGCCCCAGATCTTATGACAAGCAACAGAAACTTTGGCCATATTTATATGGGAATAGGATCATTCCTGCTGCTCCACTACCAGGAGTAATGGCAGTGTTGCAGGTCAATCATCTCTCTCTGATGAGGCCTTACCAACCCTTCATCAGAATCTAGCGTGATGTGCCACTGTGTCATTACTATTGGACCAATGCAAAAAATCTACACCTGTCCTTTCTGAGTCTATTTCTGAGTAGCCTGAATATACAAAACTGTTCAGTACTTTAGTCACCCAAGTATGTGGCTGTATTTTAAAAGTGTCTTAGTTTTTCAGTTGTTTTGGGAACTTGGCCCAGGGTACCAGTGGGAGCTGCTGGATTCTGAGCATATTACAAGAACCTGACCATCATTTCAGAGTGTCAAGAAAGCTGAGCTCTTTTGAAAATATGGTGCAGTGTCAAGATGAGAGCTTTGCACTGCTAAGCAAGATTTAAAAATCCAGCCCCAACTGTGATGTTAACACTGAACAATTTCATCCTGCATTCCCTTCAAAATCTAGCCCTTACTACTCCCAAGCCTGTTATCAGACATAAAAGCAAACTATGCATTATTTGGAAGAGCTTCATGTGTACTCCTTCCATGTGCAGATGACGCCTTGAATTCAGAGCCCTCCATTCCCATCTGTTCTCTTGTTTTGGTTTGCTTTCTGATGTAGGCCTGTTGTTATTCAGGCAGGGGAAAACTGATCTCAGTTTGGAAGTCAGGGGGCTGAGAGATATGCAGGCTGAGACAGGCTGAAAAAGCTGAGGAGAGGAAGGCAGGAAATGTATGCTGTAGACAGATGGCTAATAATTCCACACAGCTATCAATTTTCCTGGTTCTTTAAACAAATTCCTCCAGTGACATTGCAGCATGATTCATATTCTGTCTGGAGAAAACAGTCTATACAGCTTGCAAAGCCCTGCAAAGTATACGATGAGCCAGAGAAATGTGCCGCTGGAATAGAAATAAACATTTTTTTCAGAGAGGAGCCAAGCTGGTTAAAACAAATTCAGCTTGCTCCTTTATGTTTTCCCTTCCCCTCTTTTAAAGTTTTGGTTCTGTATTGTGGGTGCTTGTATTCATTTCTAAAAGTCTCCCAATTCAGGAAAGCAGTGAAGCACATATCCAATTTTAACTAGATGCTTACTTTATGTTCTACTGGATTTAAGCATGTGCTTTAACTTAAAAAAGAAGAATGCTTTCCTGAATTGGAGTCTCAGAGTAAAATTTACACATGTGCCTACCTGCCTGAGGGACTAAGTCCTACTTGCAGAAGTGAAAACCAAAAGCTACTTTTGAAAATAAGGCTTAAGGCACTTTTGAAAATGTAACCCTATGTGCTTTCCTGCAGAGATATAGACTTAAACTTGTATGTCAGAGACTTCCTCAAAGTCACAGAAGAATGTCTGAAGAGGTGTTTGTCAACCCAGAGTCTGCTCCTCCAGTCACACCATATGGTGTCTTTAATTTGGCTAAAGAATGCAGGGAAAAGAAAAAAGAAGCCAACAGGAAGAAAATAATAAAAGGTCTCAGTCTGCTTACAACTTGTGCCCCTGACAGAGACTAAAGACTTCTTAAACAGGAACCGGGCACAAGTATTGTTCAGACTGTCATTGTGAAGTATCTTTTACAGGTGTGGAAAGCATATTTTCCCATCTGGTTCCTGATCTGAGCTACTCTGGTAGGCAGAACAAATTCCTGTCTTGGCTTTCACAAGGATTCTTTCCTAAAGGAATGCCCTCTGAGAGAATAAAAGAGGTTTCACAAAACAAACCTAGTAGCAATGTTATGGAGATAGATGCATGGTTTCAGTTCTCTACCCTCCCAACCCCAACCCCAACACACACAATATGCTGGTACTTGCTATGAAACATATTTTAGAGGCCAGCTGATATTCAGGTGCTGCTTTTCTTTGTTCTCTATAAAAATGTATGGAAGCATCTGATGATCTTCATGGCACAGTATTCATAATGAAGTGTATGATGGCTCTAAGTAAAGACAGGCCCTCCCTCTTGGTGGAGTTCAGAGGTGCTCCTACCAATTGCATTTCTATTTAGTACTCTACTTTCCCACCTGGACAATTTAATTTAATCTGGCAGAACTTCTAACCATAAAAGATGAGTTCTTGCTGTCCCTTAAGAACCAAATACTGTATGGCCAGTCAGGAAACATTTGGACAACAAATACGGACAATCATGCTTTCATTTTATGCATTCTGACTCCCACATGTGCGCTCTCTCTCTCTCTCTGCCTTCCTGTGGCTGCTGGGGTGTGGACTCCCCAAGGGCCATCATTCTGTTACCCCCTCAACATCGGTGCCCGGTGCTGATACCCTTTGCTCCATCCTAGTCATGCTACTGGCTCTACGGCTATGAAGGGATCCCTGTGGTAAAACAAGTGGGGGAAGCTCTGTACGGATATAAATCTTCAGTTATGTCAATGAAGCTACACCAATTTATGCCAGTTCAGGAGCTGACCCAAGACCTTGCTTGTTTAGAATCTATCATTGGCTCTCATAACCTTAGCTTGCTTAGCATCTATTGCTTACTGCCACCTGAATTTCCTGTGTGACATAGCCACTGAGCAGATGTTGAAAACAGTGGCCTAAATTCATCTCCATAGTGTTTTTGCGGGGAGAGGTGGAGGGAGCATGAGAATGGATGTCCTGCAGTTAAAGGGAGAATGTAATATCTGCTAAGCCCTTTCTTCTCAGTGAAAAGAGCCTGGATTGGGCTCAGCATTCCTGTTCTGCTGTAGTCTGGGGTCCCTGGTGGCTTGTGCAATTTAAGGCAACAAGGGTCTTGTTAAGAAATCCAACCAGCTGGAGTTTAAAATGTCATCACCCTCATTTAAACAGAACATATGGTTCATATTTCAGCACACATTTATCTTCCTTTTAAGCAGTGAAGCAATCAGTATGACTGAGCATTGGCCTATTGCTAGAATAGCTCTGGCCCCATGGGTTGTCTTGCCTGACAACATCAGCAAGGTGCTGTACATACCTGTTGTTTCTTATCTGCCGTGGGAGAAGACCTGGAGCGCACATGCACAGCAACGGTGTGGTTATCAGACCTACTGAGCAAGTCTTCTGCAGACACAGATTTCCCAGATTTCATGGCTGGTGAGGGCATTTCAAAGTCCCGCTCCTGCTTCACATAGCGGGGTGAGCTGTGTATATCTTGCTGGTCTGTCTGGGTGCCTTTGCTGAGCTCTGTTTTCCCTCTGTAATCTCGGGATCTGTCCCTTTGAAACTGCCTTGGAAAGGAACTGCTGCTGCTCTTATAGGGCCCCTTCTTTTGCTCAAACCCGTTCAGATCAAAACAACCCATAAGCCCAGGAGGAAGGGTGGCAGAAACCTGGCCAATTCTAGAGACCCCCTCAAGTGACTCCCTCTGGTGATAAAGGCTCTGATCCTGGAGGGAATTCATGCTGGATGCAGAGGAGAGGCTCTGGCTGTCTGGGCCACCAGCCTGAAGGAATAAGCTTTGCGAGTGCTCTCTCAGGAGTCCCACATCCTGAGAAGAAGTCCGCTTCCCAGTCTTGCGTTCAATGTATTCCACCAGAGCATTCTGTTGGAGCTGTTTGAGCTCTGGTCTGGAGAGGTTTATGGTGGAGCTAACCTTATTCTCTCTCTCAAAAATTTTGCATCGATCAGCCACTGTATTTTTTGGGAAGATGAAACGAAGGCATTTTTTCTGGAGGGAAAACGGCAAGGACTCACTGTCTGAGACACCCACTTCATTCATTTTCTCTGGCTCAGAGTAGGATCTCTTCTGCTCAGCTGTCAACCGCTTTCTGCCTCCAATACGGGACAGGGGCTGACGCCCAGCATGGTTCTCTTTGTGGGTGTAGCGCACAATGGTGATGCTCGTCTCTGTGGGAGTGACGCTGTGCCTCTCCTTGGGGGTATGAGGGGATGTTGTGGTGGTCCTTAATCCAGTCTGGGCTGAGGCTGGCCTCTGAACAGTCTTCTTGGGCTTGATCCCAAAGGGGGGGGTGATACGCCTAAAAGATGTGGCTCTCAGGACCTTAGACTGAGCATCTTTGATACTGTTTCTGTAGGCCCTATTGAACAGGGTATCCAGTTGTGAACCATGGGTGTCTTGGATGTTTTCCTGCCAAACGATTTCTTTTTTAGGTTCATCTGGCAGCTGGAATGTGCTTTTGCTCCTGGTTAGCCGAGTTGCCCATTTCTGAGTCTTGTCCTCGGGATACAGGCTGTAGCACTCACTCTGCCTCAGCTGCTTCACCTCTGTCACCATTTGCTCCACAGGTTGCAAATTTGCCTCTTCAGGTGTCCTGTCTCCACTCCTACGTGCGTGCTGCTGGCAGGAAATCTTGCTCTGTTCATTAGATGGCTGCCCATGCTCTTGCGTATTAAACTTATTATGTATGTCTTCAATGCTGTTAAGAGAGTACCTAGTGCTGGATGATGGAATGTGCCTGTTTGGCCCATAATTATGGCCAAATCTAGGCAGGCCTAAGCTTTGGGACCTGTGACTCTTTTGTCTACGTTGCTCAAACTTGCTGACCGTCTCCAGAACAGAGCAATGGGCATTGCTGGTATCTGGTGTCCCATACTGAAAGCTTTGGGTGCTGCTCATACAGCTTCTGCTGACATCACAGGTCTTTGGGTACAGAGGAGAAGGCGGCTCCTTGTACTTTGGCTCAGCATTGTGGAAGGGGGCTGCACTGGAAATTTCATTCTCTTGCCTTGTAATGGCCTGTTTGTCTGAGTCATTCCATTGGTCAGTCATTAGCCCTCTGTGATTCTTTTTCTCCTTTTTGCTGTTTTTCCAGGAGAGTTTGGTATCAGAATAACCCTCACATTGCTGGGTCTCCTTTAGCTCCCAGCTGTTTTGCCTCCAGGAATTCTCTGGGATATTTTGTGAGGATAGGGAGCCATGATACTTGGTCTGGCTGTAGTTCCACTGGTTGTGGGTTGCAGCATCCCTCTCATTTTTCTGCAGGTTGGCATTTATGTCCTGGGACTCAGTCACCCAGTACTCCTTGGGTTGGTAAAGGGCTTTTCTGTCACTGGTATCTCTCAGGTGGGCCTGTAGCAATTGCAAATTATAGCTTGAGCACTGTACATGGCTTGTGCTTTCTTGGATGCCATGTGATATCATAGAAGGGGAACCTGGGTCATCCTTTCTTGGAGAGGATGAGTAGACTTGAGGAATGGCCATACTGTGAGGTTTGCTCTGAACAAATTTTGTTGCTTCCTGCTTTTTCTCTGCAGCAGGAGGCACATGGTCTGACTGACGGAAGGCAGCAGATCTATTTGCAATGCTTTGGTTCCCATTCTCATCAAAGCTGGCATGGCTGTGGACCATGACTTTTTTATGCAAGATGGGTAGAGGAGGAGCATATCCACTCTCTTTGGCCAGAGCTGGATAAAGCATCCCGTTATTGCTTGCAGATGGCAGAGGCACCTCGGCAAAGTGTGGCTCAGGTGAAGGTACCAGGTAGATGCCAGTAGGAAGCAGAGGCTGCCCAGGCTGGACAGCTAGTGTGTAGCTCTGCTTGGGCTTCACTGTGGGGCTGCTCTCAGGGCTTTTTTCTACCACAGTGTGCAGATGTCCTTCCACAAACATGGGCTTCAGTGGCTGCCCTTGCCCCTGAGAGACAGATGGAGGCCAAGCCCCTTTCGGCTGAGTATGACAAGGCTTACTTTGATCAAGGGTAGACCAGGAACCAGGCCTCTCGTGGTGCCTTATTGCTGCATAGCTGTCACTACGAGTGGGTGGTAGGGGGGGGTCCTTCAAGTGATGGCTCTCGCTGTCAGAGAAGCTCTGGCTTTGCTGGCTCAAGAAGGGGACCCCACTGCTTCGGCCATAGCCATGCAGCTTGCTGTAGCTACGGCCTTCTGTCTGTGCCTGGGCTTTGCAGATTGGAAGCAGTGCAGAAGACTTCACCTCATACTCCTGAGAGACCCCTAGCTGGGTGTCATAGACAGTCTTGATGTACCTGATGTCAGCCTGCCTCATTCCCTCCTGCTGGCTACCTTGGGAATGTACATTGTCAACAGAGCAGGAGCGCTCCTTGAAGAAGGAAGGTGCTGCATACTCAGGGATGCTGGAGCTGGTAGAGAAGGAGCTGTAGGCAGAGTCCCTTTTGCAGTGGAGGTGGGAGAGCTGGTCAGTGCTACTGATCGATTTGGCTGGTGAGAGGTGGTCAGGGTGATATCCAGAGGGGGTATGGTCCAAGCTCTCCATGCTACCCCTTGAGCTGTACTGGTCAGGGCTTCTCCTCAGATAGACATGATCATAGCCAGAGAGATCACTTGTTGATGAACTGGAGGAGAGTGAGAGAAGGGAAAAAAGTACTGTTTGAGAGAGAGGCACATATTAACTTATAAATGATCTCAGAAGCAAGATATTTAGTTCTTAGACGAAGAGATGAAAACCCATATTTGGGCCTTACTCTGTGTCCTGTCTGCACAGTCATTACAGTTCACGAGAAGGAATTGTTTAACATTGCAATGTGTCTCTTCTTTTTCATTGAGTGTTAGGGGAAGAGAGAGGAGGAAGCACAGTGCATATCAAGGGAACCAGGGAGGTCCATCCCACCCAAAGCACTAGAAAACTATAATAAATGAAGGTGCCACAAAACGAAAGGGAGAAGAATAGGAGAGGCTTCTCAGGGGGGTGGAATTTAATCTGTCTCTTTTTCCCATTTAATTTCTTTTTATGGAATTAAAGGCTACACCCTGGCAATCTTCCTAGAAACCAGAAACATTTTGTTTGCTGTGAGAAAACTAAACTGACAAGTCAGAAAGGAGATGTGTATGTATATATTGGGAAGTGGGCAGGAGGGGGAGAAAATCATAACAGTGTTTTGATATAGCTTCAGGAAGTCTTTAAAGCTTCACTGCAGATGTAGCTAGTTTAGCAGGTGAGAGTGGTGCTTGTAAAGGGACACAAAGCATTAGCAGGGTCAGATGTCTGTGTGCGTTGTTTGAGGAACTGCTGTTGTGGCTGTTGGAAATCTGTGCCAAAATCAGTGTATTTAGGCATCGTTAATGGGAGGGAAGGACCTAATCACGTCCAAACTGACTAGTGTCAGAATAGGGTGGGGGGGGTAGGGGGGAACAGCAGGAAGGTTTTAAATTATTGGGAGGTTCTTTCTATGCTCCTCTTTTACTAGAGCTGAGAAGGCTTAAACTCGTAATTTTCATCTTTCCATGGATGGAATCCTTCTGAGACTGGGAGGGATAGCAAATAGGGCTGTGCAAAACAGCACCATTTCATTTTGACTTCAGTTTCGCCATTTCGATGGGACAGTGTTTCATTTCAAGTTTCATTTCAACAGCACTGTTCTGTTTCGTTTCCTCAAAACTGTTTCGCTGTTTTGACACTGTTTCGATGTTTCACCCATAGGCTATAATGGGAAAGCATGAAACTGCCTATAACTTTGTTATTTCGTGCCTGATTTGGATGAAACTTGCTGGGATGGTAGCACCTTCTGAGGCTACAAAGTCTGCCAAGTTTCAAGGAGACAGGTGCAGAGGTTTCTGGGAAACTGCACCTCAAATTCTTGAAAGCAAAACTCAGGTTCATGTGTGTGTGTTAAGGCACAGTGGGGTAAAAACTGCAGGCATGGTAGCTCTTACTGAGGCCGCAAAGCCTGCCAGATTTCAAGGAGATAGGTGCAGGGTTTCTGGTAAACTGCACCTCAAGCTGCTGACAAGCAAAACACATGTCACATAGATTCATAGATTCATAGACGTTAGGGCTGGAAGGGACCTCAAAGATCATCAAGTCCAGCCCCCTGCCCCAGGGGCAGGAAGTCAGCTAGGGTCAAAGGATCCCAGCAAGATAAGCATCCAAACATTTCTTGAAAGAGTCCAGAGTAGGTGCCTGCACCACTTCTGGAGGGAGTCTATTTCAGGTCTTGGGAGCTCAGACAGTAAAGACATTTTTTCTTATGTCTGGCCTGAAATGGTCTTAGAGGAGTTTATGACCATTGGTCCCTGTTTTACCTTGGGGCGCTCTGGTGAACAGATGTTCTCCCAGATCCTGATGTACACCCCTTACATACTTAAAGGCAGCCACCAGGTCCCCCTTGAGCCTGCACTTTTCCAGGCAGAAGAGTCCCATGGCTCTCATGCGTGTGTTAAGGCAAAACCCTCAAAATAAAAGGGTCTAGGAAGAAAGCAAAAGGTATTGTGGAATCCCACTTGCTAGGCTAGCAAGTAGGAAATCCAATCAATGGTAATAGTAGCCTCTAACACTCCTGAGCTTCTGCTAGATAGCTCAGTAACTGACCCCAAGACAGAAAGCAGGCCAGTTCAAACAATGCTGCCTTTTATGCTGTTTTTCCACCCCTCCCCCAGAGCACTGGGATTGGAAGGGACCTCAGGGAAGGATCACAGTCACTGGCCAGCTACACAGTCAATGTCAGAGCAGTCCTTCCCTCATCTTCCCCCTCCCTCTCCTTACTTTCTGTTTCCCTCCAGGCAAGCCCAGCTTCAGCTTTGACACTTGAAACATTTTGAAACTTTCAAAACATTTTGACTGCCCTCATTTCGTTTTGAGGCTGTTTTGAAACCCTTCATTTCATTTCAATTTCACTGTTTCAAGCTCAAAACAAGTCAAAACATAGTTGTAACAAAACAGCTGATGACATTTCACACAGCCCTATTAGCAACTGGCTTGGCCCTGACACCAGGGGTAGGTCACCGAATGCAGTAGCTGCAGAGAGTGGTTTAGTACCTGAAATAGCTGCATTTCCTAGTATGGCAGCTTCAGTTCCTGTGTAGAAACTATGGACATTTATACACGTGCTCTGGGAGAGTGTGTGTGTGTGTGTGTGTGTGTGTGTGTGGAAGGGGGGCGCACTTCAATTAGAGCGGCTCTGAGAGCCACTCCAATTAAAGTGTCAAGAGAGCTATGTGTATCGATGTCCCTGCACTGAAAAACTGTGGCAGGGGCACTTTAATGAAAACTCATTGAATGATGAGCACGGTAATGACCATGCTCCAGCAGACTTGATTAATTGAGTCTGCTCTGACATGCTGTAATTATAGTGCATCGGAGTAGGCTGCATGTGTATGGGCTCCCTATGTTGTGATAGCTAAGCTCCATACATGCTCAGTGGATTTATTGGAACTGACAATGCTCAGCAGCTTTGAAATTCAAGTGACTATGTCCCTTTGGGAAGCAGGTAGGAATAAAAGCAGCCCTCGGGCTAAGGCATAGACATTAAATAGCTTATAGAACAAAACATCCTGACTGTAACCTCTCAATTTGGCTAGGGACAGACATTACACATAAACCAATTTAAGTGATCAGAAACTGGTTTAAACCTGTAACAGAACAGACATTCAGTGCACGTAAACCAGTTTCAAAAT